CAAAATATCCTTGCTCCTACCTTACATTTGTCTAAACTGCAAGTCATTCCCTTTCATTATTCTGCTCCCATCCCCCTTTTTATGTAGGGAAAAGTAGTGCTTAGAACTTGTTTATACAGTTTGGGTTCTGCTCTTAGTATATAGCTCTTTCAAACAGACATTGTTAAAGCAACACAGCCACCTAGTGTGGATGCAATTTGAAAGTTTAATTTCCGTACAATTATGAGACACTACTTTAACCAGACCACACATGGTAACAACAGCAACTTTACTTAAAAAAACCCATACCAATAACCAGAAGCATGTAGATTGGAAAATTTAATAGCAAAAATAGTTTACATTTGAAGCAGTTCAGCTACCATTTTTCAGTTAAGATCTGCATCCCTTTAGCAAGACTGAACTAAATCACAGACCTTAATTCTCATGCCTCATATCTCAAGGACTGGAAGAACCTGGGGTATCACTTGGGTAAAATAATCCAGTGCCATTTTCAGCAGTTAGATTTCACTACTCATTCTGTTGTGATAACACAGTGAAGTTTATCAGGATGATGACCCTGGTTGAGAGGAGCAAATGGACAGAATTCCCTGTTTGAATGAGCTTCCTGATGTGGTTCACTACATACCCATGCAAACACTAGCTGCATAACAGTGGTAATGGAGGGAGGAGACAAGGAGGCAGCCCAGGAACAAGTAGCCTAACCAAAATACATCCATAGTTCCTCACCAGTATTCATACTCAGCTTTATGTGGATAAACCTTTTCACAAGCTTCGGATTTTTCTTTACCTGTTATTTATTTTCTTTACAAATTTTAATATTAATGCCAAGAAAGGCCAATGAAACATGACACAACTAAAAATCCAGTATTTTAAATTTTTTTTTGCCATAAATAAGGTGAACAATTTCTTTTTTCTCTCCATATATTGCAGATTGATTTAATAATAAACACAAAGGTTTATATTTACTGGGACTAAATGGTAAGACTTCATATCCCTCCTAAAGTTATGCTGCTGTTTATGTTTCTGCATCAGTTAACCACCTAGTCTCCCTTCCTGACTATTTCACAATTAATCTTCAGTTATATTCCATGAAAAGGGCACAATTACCAGCATCAGTGTTCTCATAAAGCTAAATCAGTGCTTATAACTTTAAGATGGGCACGTAAAATGCCATATAACATCTTACTATGCATTCATGTGCACAGAACCTTTTTGCAGTTTTTTAGAAGACCCTTGATTTACACACAGATGAAAACAAAGTAACAAGACAAATGCTTTTGTAGACTAATATCTAAAAAAATAACAGTACTAACCAAGCAATCTTTAAACCTCTGACCCTGTAATGATTTAGCTGGTGAAGAGACCTTCTGTCCTGTCACAAGGTTCCCCCATGGTGGCTGCCATTTGTGAAACCATGTTCCCTCAAATACAGACAAGGCTACGGGAGAATGCTACCCAGCTACCTCACTTGCTGAGACTCACAATGCAGTGACATACTGCTCATGTTTAATGTGACATTTCAACAGTATCTGGTTAGAACAGCAGCATCTTAAAGCATCTACACAGATTATTTGATTCCCTATATTCTACCTTTGTATCTACTTAGAAGCAACCTGAAGTCAGTGATCAAAACTTTCATTTACTGCAATTAATAATTACAGAAATTTTAAATAGCAAAGATCATATTTTATAACATAGCTTAAAAAGTTATGCAAGGCACTAAGTCTCAAGCAAAATATTTGAGAGCAAATACTGTAATTAAAATGTTAGAAACGGAACTAATTCTTTTCTGAGGAAACACCTGTGATTTTTCTCTCAAAAGTGGCATCTTGAAGTCTAATCATCATTCTCTGTGAAATCACCGTTTAAAAAAAAAAAAAAAAATCAAATCCTCTAAACTGAAATAATAGATACTTTTGGCTCTCTGGCGAGGCACATCTTTTTATTTACCTAATACAAAGGCAATCAACACCCCTCCTCCAAAAAGCACTGTGCTTCATCTCTAACGGACACCCAAAATTAATTAGAAAATATCTCTGTTGCAGTCCAGAATATAATCAGGATCTTTTTCCTCATGCTGACCAACACCTAATGTATAAAATTTCTTCTCAACAAAGTGGATGATCAAAAACCAGTAAAATTATTTTAAGGTTTCGTAAATAATTCATGACTGCATTTTACATACAAATTGCCTCTTCCTCCAAGTGAAATATTAAATTTAGTTTTCAAGGAAAAATTCAAGGAGATATTTAAAAGTGAACAACAAAACAGTTGTATAATAAATATTTTAAATACACTGGATTTTTTTCAACTGTGCAGTGGTATGTATCAATGCAAGAACACATATAATTTAGCTGATCTGTTTTTAACCTAAGCAGCAACAGTATACAATATCCTAAAACTGAATTAGCACTTGAGTAATCAATCACATGAAGTCTCTCCGATTATATATATATATATATATATATATATATATACACATATACATATATATATATTTTTTATTTTTGCAAACAGCTTAATTTCATTTTCTTGGAATCCTTCTCCTCTTTCAATTTCAAATTTAATTAGGCTGTAATTACAAACTTTCTCTGTCATATGCACAGTAAATATTTCATCTTTGTCACACTACATATTAAAGTTAGCATATGCAACATTTTGACCCAGACCTTGAAATAACCTTTGACAGTTCAACACACTACAAAATGAACTTTTAAAGGTGACCTGGAAAATGAATAGGGAAATGAAGCTCTGTTCAGAAATAAATGCCATATACCTTCAGCAAGTAGCAGCCAAAGAGAACAACATCCTAGTTTATCATTACTTCTAGCAGTATTTCCTTGTTGCCAAACAACTGCAAATGTATCTTTCTGCAACATCACTGAACAGACATTGTACATTTGACTGTCATCAGCTCCTCTGGTGGCATTAGGAAACTCTTTTCTAATTAAACCTGATTTATATTCAGCTTTCCTAAGACACATGAAGTTATGTCTTAGCAAGGCATGGCTTCTGAATGAAGTGACCTTTTGCTGTTCAGTGGTTGGCAGAAATACATGAGAGCCACAAAGCAGTATGCAGTCAGCAAGAAATCCCCTCTGCAAGTGGTAAAACCACAGATGTTGAAAGTACCACTAAAAAAGGAAAAGATGCAGGCCTATAAACTTCTGTCCTATCAATCAGTATTACCGTATTGTACATTTTATTCTGTATTAAGGACTGATTCTTATTCATATTGCTTAGGATTTTGCAAGCTTCATCAATGATATGGCAGATCGTAGAGCTGGCAAATGAACCTTGCCATGAAAGAAGAGGCAAACAATAAGGAACATATTTTCCTATTGGTTGAGAGATACAGAGTTGCACAGTGGAACAAGGAAGCAAATGTCCTTGCAGGTGAGCTTTTTCATTTCCACAACCAGCAAAGTGACATATTCCTTACCTCACCTATATATATGCCTTAAGGATCTAAGTATAGCAGCAGTAAAAATTTTTTACAGTATAACATAGTTCCACTACCCTATGACTTTGCAAATAGTACAACAGCATATCTAGCTTTTGCCAACTGTCTTGCTTTCATTACCTGCTTTTGTTTCTCTGTACTCAAATAAATAACAGCCAAACGAAATTAACTGAAGACAACACACACATATTCTGAATTAAATTACCACTTGAATTGGATACATATATTCCAACTTACACCCTTCATTTGCTACAAAATTACAGAAAAATGTTGTTGCCATGGGTAACTGATTACAGTCAAGTGAAATTTACTCAGGTCACTGCCACAGTTTAGTGAACTGTAATTTTCTCAGCTTTATTTAATGAAGGTTTTAGTTTATAATCAAATTTACACTGCACTATTTTGCTCCCATTTTATTCACAATACTGTTGATTCTAGAGGAGATCAATCATACTTTAAGAAATATATAAGCATCTTACTACTAAAGACAATACACTTTACTAATAAAGAAAGGGAAAATGGTAGAAAAAGGGTTAAAAGGAATAGGTAAAAAAGAAAAGGAAAAAAGATAATAAAGGACAAAAAAGAAAAAGGAAGGAGAATAAGAAAATTAAAAGCCTTGCAAGAGAATTCAAGTGATAATATTTGAATAGAACAAGGTCTGCAGTAATATTACAAAATGGTATGTGGAAATTACCTATGCTGCTGTTAGACAGCAAATTAGACACTTTGCAAGTAACAACCAACAGAAAATACAGAGCAGCAATACATAATACATCATTTTACTTAACAAGGACCACATTCTTAAGCTTCATACCTTAAAAAATATAAAAATCGACTTGTGTGCATATATGTAAACAGACACACACAAATATTTTAAAATGCATTTGTTTGGCAGTCAAATATAAAACCAGCACTAATTCTAAACAAGATCAGAATTATTTTAATTCTTGTAAGAAATCATAGCAAGAAAATTAATCTTATAATACAATTTACTTACAAAGAAATATTCTTCAAATGGATAATAGAATCATTATTTTAAAACCTGATATAATAAATTAAATGCCTTCTTTAAAAAAATTTATACTGAAATTAGCTGGATTTTCCTATTTACAGGGCACATAAAATGACTACCTCAGTTAAATACTCAAGGTCTTCTAAACAGTCTGATTTGCTGCACTGCCCTAAATATTATGCCAGATTGTCAATAAAAATACTTCACACTCAAGAAAAAACTCTGTTTTCTTTAAACAGTGAAGCAGAGAAATAAAATTACATAGTCAATAGTATAAAAACTCTGGCATTTGTCACTTTCAGGCACTTTCACAACTCTGAAAATAACATGGTTCAACTGTTTCTTTGAAAGGAAAAATATCCCTTAAGAATTAAACTTTCTAAAAATTAAGTATGTTTTTAACTGAATCATCATTCATTTTAACCAGAATAGCCACATTATGATGAGGTGGACCCAAAGGAGAAATAAGCAATCTAAATCCCATCACAGACTGCTGAAAGAAGTTACACAACAAAAGATCTCTTCAAAATGGTATTTTTAATGAAGTACGTATAAATCAAGTTTCTGAAGTAGTTTAACAAGCTGGGATTATAAAGACCTTGATTCTCCCAACCTTTCTGCAAGGCATCAGGTTCCTGGCATAGCTCTATACTTTGTGTGACTCCTTGAGGAGATAACCCAGCACAGAGACTGGATCTCAGTGAAGCATCAACCACTCTATGCATTTCATGAAGGCAGCATACTAAAGGCAATGAAAAAAACTACTGATGGCTTAAGCCACCAGTCACCATACAAAATAGGGTTCAAATGAGGAATGTCACACCCAACCCAAACATACTTTAGCACTGAAGAGAAAAGACAGCACATCCTTCAAAACAAATACTGAAAATTTAATCTAAACAATCTCAGGGCTGTTTTTTTACATCACCAGCTTTCATTAGAGCCTTAATAGCTCTGGCCCTCATCTCAAGCTCCAGAAGCTCCAGCTGCTGTGCTGATGGCTGAACATCTTCTGATGAAGGAACAGCTAAGGTTGCTGCTTTGGGCTCCTTTGAGCTGGACTCTGCCAGTCCCAGTATCTCATTCACACTTTTTTCAATGTCCTTCTGAAGGTCATCAATCTGACTGGCTCCATTTCTGAAAGTGTTTTCTTGCACATCTGGGCCATCTTCTTCATTGCATGGGCCTTCTATGTCACTATCGTATGCATCTGCATTTATGCTGAGGACATCACTATCTTCTCCCTTGCCTGTAACACAAACATAACAATCACACAGCTGCCTACCAGAACCATTTTTCTTTCAACTTATAAGATCGCTTCTGCTTAGTGTTTCTCTGTAGATGAAAAGAATGGCAAAAAGATCTATGAGACAACTAATGGCAAAAAGAATGGCAAAAAAGATCTAAAAGACAACTAATTACTCTTCTGTTTCTCCTCAAACTTTTGAGGCTGATATAATTCAGACAACTTTTAATGCATTTTTATGCCAATTTAGAAAAACATGCAGTACAGTAATGCAGCAGTACCAGGAAAACTTACTCTAACCTAGAGTTACATGATCTATTTTCATAATTAAAATATCATAAGGTTTTATATCACAAGGAAGCCACTGCAGTGCAAAATTGATTATTGTTTATTATATTTAAGGTAAACTTAGTTTTCAAAATGCAATTTTTAAAATGACACTTTAAAACTCTTTTATATACTTTACAAAGAGTGGGACAGTAGTCAGGCACAGTACTAAGAATGAATAGAAACTCCACTTATAGTGCAATTATTCAGAATCTATCACATGTATTTTAGATGTATTTGACTCAGTAAAAACACAGAGAAAGTTATGGCATTGGCCTTTAATGCTGCCTAAAAGCTGTTTATTAAAAAAGAAAATAATTAGAAGCAGCAGTGCAATCAAAGTAAAACTCTTAACAGAACCTAAGTAACTGTTCTCAGAATTTGGCTACAGAGTGACTACTGCTGTCAACACACTGGCCACAAATTATTAGTCCTTCATCAACTTTTGTATTTGCAGAAACTGACAGTAGGATTGGTTCCTGCTTAAAATGAATAATTTATAGTCAGATGGTGGTAAAGTTACTGATTCTAAAAGTTTTATAATTGGTTTTGGTAGTAGCACCAGCCAAAGGTATGGCTGTTGTATCCTGTTAATAATGAGGGTTTAGAGCTAAAGATCTGTGGTTTTGAAATACAGATCATTTCCTGCCGTGAAGATTCAAAGAAAGTTTGCATTCCCATGTAAGCTAGTCTATAATGATCCTCTAACACATAAAAAATACTCCTTATTTAATACATATTCAGACAGTATTGCAAACCTGGCTTTTACAATTTTCTTTTAATTCTCCTTTAAAAGTATGGGAAACCAAGAAGACAAGGGAGCCAAACTCTTCTCAATACTGCACAAGCAAAGATCAATGGCAATGCACAAAAACTAAAACACAGGAAATTCCATCTGAACGGATGTAAAGATTTTTTTACAGCGAGGGTGGTCAAACACTAGAGCAGTTGTTGCGTCTACATCCTTGCACCTATTCAAAACTCAATAGCATGTGGTCCTGAGCAACCTGCTCTAGCTGACCTTGAACAGGCACACTGGATTTGATGATCTCGAAACAGTTCCTTCAAACCTAAACAATTCTGTGACTCTCCAATTCTTGAAATTACTGTGTTGACATATGGCTTTAAGAGGTTCCTTTCCACCTAACTGTTAATTTTTTTCGGTATTGCTAGTTTTATTCATACCTTTGGTTCCTGAACCTCAAATTTGCAGGGCTAGAAGTACTGATTTGCAAGGTTTGCTATCAACAACACAATTAATATACTGGAAACCGAAGCAAGTAGTTCCTCTGTGAATTGTTCTTTTTTAGTATCGGTCAATCAGAATCTTGCTGACATTCAAACTATAAAAAAAACCCCAACCTTATAATGTAATCTAACACAGCAGGGACCTATGATTTTAATACCTTTACCTAATTATCTTCCTATCACTGGCTTTTCTCTCAAGATGCTGTGTATTGAAATTGTTTCTGAAACAATGTTGATAACACACCAGTGCTAGTGTTGAAGTTGCAAGGCCTCAGGGATGTCTCTGTTTCTCACTCTGACCCCATAAGGAGTAGGCTGGGTTGGACAAGAGGTGGGAAGGAATACACAGCCAAGACAGGTGAACCCAATTAACCAAAGGGATATTCTCTACCATATGACATTATGCCCAGCATTAAAAGCTCAAGGAAAGGAGGAGGAAAGAGGGATTGTCCATGGTTATGGCATTTGTCTTCCCAAGTAACTGTTGCGCATGCTGAGGCTCTGCTTTCCAGGAAGTAGCTAAAAAAATCAGGCTGCTAATGGGAAGTAGTAAATAAATCCCTTATTTTGCTTTATTTCAGTACACAACTTTTGTTTCACTTATTAAACTGTCTTTATCATGACTCGTAAGTTTTTCTTGCTTTTGCTCTTCTGATTGTCTCCTCCACCCCACTGAGAGAGGAGTAATTGAGAAGCTTGTGGGTGCCTACTGCTGGCTGAGGTCAACTCACCACAGAATTCCTTTTGGTGTTGGTCACATACTAAGCAGAAAGAGAACGTTAACAGTCATTCACATCTGTCTCAGAATTAGTATGGACCAGGAAGGTGGGCAAAGCCATCTTGGGTTTCATTCAGAATTTGGAGGCACCAAAATTGTATAATACAGCTTTCATACAAGCTGACTGGCCTACAAATGTTTAATTAGATTTAACTAGGGCTGTCTTTCCCTCTTTTGTAGCTGTAATTTTACCCAGTAATAAAGATCATGGTTGACATTTCTCGTTATCTTTTTCATTTTGATAACTTCCACTTTTTCCTTCAGCTACAGTTGTGAAATCCGTTTTAGCACACTTAAGTCCATTTTTTTTAATTTTACTTTATCCATTTTACTTATCCTCTTTTCTTTTTTCTCATAGCATCCCAGGCTGCAGCTCAACAGAATGATTAGAATTGTATTTTTTAATTTGTATTGATATTCTCAAAAGCTCTTTAAATCTAACATCTTGAGTGGAGCCACTGTTATAGTCCAAAGCCATCATGATACTCTGGTTGATTAAGTCATAAAAAACAATGAAGGAATCACCTGCAACAGTCATCAATTCCCTCTGTTTATACAAAAATGGAAGGGATCTGCAGGAAACCTGTCAATTCGAAGGTCATTCCATATGGTACAACAAGCAACATTTAAAGCATTCCTCACAAAGCCACAGTAACCTGCTTCTAAATGTTTTGATGTTTTTATTAAACTATTTCCTTCTCCATTTAATTCCCCTCACTAATTACTTAAAAAAATTAAAAAACATTTCACAAAGTTATTCCAAGAGACATCTTTTAGACAACATCTGAACTGTGAAATAGGAGCTGCAGGAAGTAAACAGTGTTAGAACTTTGCAGAAGAGAACTATAGCTTATAAGAATTTGTGACACACTCTGATTGGAAAAGTTATTTGTGATGTTACTCTACACAGCTAGTCCAAATGAAAATAAACAAACTGAGACAGAAACACCCACAATTCTAGTGCTTCATGCACAAAATACTACTAGTAGTTGTTATGTGGTGCTGATTTAATGATTGGAATAAAACAAGTACTGCTGTAGGTTAAGAAAACCGTTTCCTTACACAGCAGATGCTCAAATGTACCCTAACAACTGCTTTTGCATTTTCTATTCTGCCAGTCACTACAGTACCTGAATGTCTCGCTCACTAAATTTCTGCATTTAAAAAGATAAAATATACAAGACAAAACATTTGTCTTTAGAGATTCAAAGATTTGAACGTTTACTTCCACTGGCACTGACTTCAAGTAAAATAATCTAGTTATCAGGAGCAGTGGGTGTTAAGCATCACTCCTCTGGGACCTTATCTCTGCACAATCAAAGCAAGGTACTATATATGAAGACTGAAGAAAATTATTAAATTACCAGCAAACAATTAAAACAATGGATTTCTATGACTGTCAAAACAATACTGTAGGCTCTTATAATCCTCTCAACAGAAAATAAAACTGAATCTCAAAGAATCAGCAAATGGTAACAGCAGTATTAGCCATTACCTATGTACTAAAAAAATGAAATGACTGAAATTTTTCTTCAGCAGAAAAACTAGATATGAAAAGCCACGTAAGCCCTGCAAGAGCTTCAGTCATGTTCCAGAAGCTAAACTAGCAAACTTTGAAGAGCTGCAATTTGCTTCTAGCCACAAAATAACTCTCCAGTCTCATAGAATTGAGAAGCCAAAGTTCCTACAATGTTTTCTTCAACATTCTCCTCTTCTTTTCTGCAACTGGGCCCAAGAGAGAGGCTGTAACCTTACACCAGCTGATTTCTAAAATGATTTCTCTGTGATTGCAGCTACTGTTCAAGAGAGAGCCATCAGTTATCTGGAATTAGTCACTGCCCAACATGAAGAAAAAATTATTTTAGCTTTCTCCACTACATACCTTGTTTTGATTCCTGACCTTCCAGCTTGTTGTCTTCTCTGAGAGAAGAAGTAGAGTCTACACTGTTGTCCTGTCTAGAAACAAATAAGAAGATGTAAGAAGATTAGATACAAAGATTTTAATCTGCATATTTTACACAGATAAAAAGATTTTAATCTGCATATTTTACAATTTAAGAGGATTTTTTTAAGAAACATCGACTTTAACTAAAGAAATTATGTGGTGGTAGGCCAATAGGCCAGCTACAGTATGAATAAAGGCAAGAGGAACATACAGAGTGCTAATCTAAGCACTTGAGAATGAGGCTACTTTTTGCTTTGCCTAGCAATACACAAGGATAAAGTAATTATTTCCACTACACCCTAGCCTTTTAGAATAACAATCCTCACTGGTAGCCTCTGTCCAAGCTTTTCTCTAAAATGCAGAATAAACTGTCACACAATTAAACACTTTGAAAAAAATATAGTTTCAATTGCAAGTACTATTTACTGTTTTCTTTTGAAATTAAGAAGCTATTTTCATGAAGTTACCATCATCCCACCACCACCAACCTCTCCTGCATCACAATCTCATAGTTTCACAAAGGGACACTTTTTAAAATTAAACACAACTCAACTGTTAAAATGTATTCAGTATCTGTATTTCTCTGTTTCTTCTATTTAAAGATTTCTACCCTTGATCTCTATAGGTTTCAACTGCTTTTTTATACAAGGGATAAAGACAAGATACTTACATGAAATGTTCATATCCTTCACACATTTCACACATACTAGTTACACAAACTGTGAAATACATAGGAAGAAGGAAAGCAAAAGGACACAGAATCACTGAAGAGTGCAACTGCCATGTTTAGCGAGCATTTTGACAGTAGAATTGCCAACTTCATAGCCTAAATATCAGTGCAGCATTGGTTTCATACATATTAATACGGAATCAATGAAACTATGCTGCCTGTGGGAGCTGAGCGGCACTAGAAAAAGGATAGCAATATTCGGTTATCACAGGTGCAAATATAATTACTTTAACAATGTGTTTTTCAGTGATGCCCTGAAGGCTTTTCCTAAAATTGAATACAGACCTATGTTCCCCATGCTCTCAAAGATACATTTTTGTCAGGTGTCCAATGGCTATGTTAGGAGGGAGAACACCTTAATATTTCTTGCTATCTTGGACTGACAGAGAGAGTTATTTTGATTGCTATTTCCTTTTCTGTAGTAGCAAAGGTTACAAATCAGACTCTTCTGTTTCTCCCACTTTTTGTAAACATTAGCATGCAATAAATGACTAGGGAGACTGTGTAGCTGCACCTGAAAAAAAGGTTTTTTAATGTTCTACATCTTAAGCAAGGAAAGAGAAACATACTGTCCAATGCCATTAAAACAAACTGAGAACAGACTATTTACTGTGTTGCATTTTTCTCAGAACTCAGTGGTACGTATCTTTTCAGTTTGCCTTCCTACTTGGTCAACTCAAGAAGTATTCTCCTAACCTTTCAATTTCTGTTGGACTTTCCATTCCAAGTCAGGGCTGAAAGAGAAGGAATGGATACAAACTAGATCTTCAGAAAGCTATGCTGAGTGGGAAGTTCTGTATATATGGCTAACCACACCAGAAAATTATTTAAACTTTGCCTCTTCACAAACAAAGAGAAAGTTTGTTCGTTTATTTTCTATTCCAGTCACCAGTCTTCTACTACAAAGGCCAGAGGTGTTGCAAAATAGATTACAGGCTCCACCTGTTAGATGTAAAATAATCCCAGGGATTCAACAAATAAAATTAGGTTGGCTGTATGGATGGTTCAGACATGTTAACCAGAGTCTCAAGCTTCCTGCTGTCATGGGGAAAAAGGCACACCAGATAACATGACATTACTATGTTTGATTTGTTAAATGCATCGAGCAGAGGACAGGCTGTGAGGAAAAGTGTTCTCTCAAACAGACACCCATATGGCCAGAGCTAACCAAAACCCACCCCAACTACCCCTCCAGTGACCCTGTACAGCCTGCCCCAGGGAAAAACATCCTCTCAGCACTCTCAGTGCCAGGCTCCAGGCCACAGCTTAAGACCAAAGTCTAACTGAACCTCTGCTTTGAGACAGTGACAGACTGCTGCGTAGCAACATTTCCCCACCTACCTATATTACTGGGTGGGGTTAGGCCAGGTGCCAGCACAGATCACCAGCTGAATTTATCCATGATGCTGTCGCAGCATACCTTCCCACAAATTTCAGGTTTTGCTCTCCTGTCACTTGACAAAGCTTATCACACTCAGTTCTCTGTTGTATTGTCCTGTCCATTAAGTTATGTGTTTAACGGTGAGTCACCATAAGCACGAGTCACCATAAGCAAGAAGCAGAGAACCCTAATAAGTTCATCAGTTCAGAGGGATCACCTGGCCTCAGTTGCTCCTAGGGTTGTGAAAGGAGAGCAACCAGCCCATTTGCTGTGAATGAAACCTAGTAAGAGCAGTCAGCTAGAGAAACCACCTTACAGGCTGGAGGATGCTACTGTCTACAGGAGCATGAGGGTGTGTATAGGATGCTAGGGAAGAGGGTTTCAGAACTGCATAAAACGTACCAGCAGATTTTTTTAAGTTTTTAAGGGAAGTGTAGGAACATGTAAGGCAGCATGGGATGTTCAGAGGAAGAACCAAAGGTGGTAAAAGGGAGAGACCAAGGCACATTGAGAAAGCATGATCATGGGGCTAAAAAAAAAGAAAAAAAAAAGAGTAGAGCATGTTGTTGATCAGTACACTTGTCTAGCAAAGCCCTGGACCTGATCACTACATTCTGTTCTGCATTCTTATTAAACTCTATTGCTATTTTTCCAAATGAGAGGACACAATCTCTGTATATATGCACACACAGAGATATCTATCTATCTATCTATCTATCTATCTATCTGTGAAGTGCCAGCAACTGCAAAGGGGACCATAGGTCATAGGGGTCTGCAAGATTGTGCTGACAGAATGAAAAATGTGCATGCTTCCTCAGAAAATGTCAATGTCATGCATCAGTGTGTATGCAGATGTTTGTAATTCACCAGCAAATCTCAGACTTGTCTAGACAGCATGTAGGATACCAAACAGACTAAGTTCAGAGGCAGAATTCCCAAAACATCCAGAGTTTGCAAGCAGGCAAACTGAGGGACCATAGCTCCACTAGACACTCAAGAGATCAACAGTATGAGTGTCAGCAACTGGGGACTATCATAGGTCTGCACCAGCTATCAGAGAGGCCAGTTTGTGCAAGGATGTCTGAGCATAAGGATGCACCTTGTGGGCTTGTATGCCTGAGTGCCAGCACCTGGGTAGAGCAATGGATCCGGGACCAGCTACTGGTTAATGGATCTAGAAGAATACACTTTTTTTTTTAAGCAACTCCTAACAATATATTATACTTAGTCACTCAACTGGTGACCAAAATAAGGTTGTGATATACCCTTCTCATCACTAAGAGCAAAAGCTGCTTAGGCTGTCCCTACCTCATCCTCCCTCACACACACACTTAATCATTTTGAACTAAGTAGTCATCATTGCATTGAACAGCTATGTGTCACTTTGGAAAGTCTGATCTTGCATGTTCCAAACTTCACTGACATTATAATCACCCCTTTGACAGAAAACTCACTGACCAGTATGGTTCAAACACTGGCTGTGAAATTACCTATATCCATTTTAAGAGCTACATAAAAATAAATTATCAACTGAAAAAAAAAAAAAAACAACCAAACCTACACATCAAAACTTGTAGTTTTCTCCTGTTGCCTTGACACTATCACTGATTACAGAAAAAACACATTCCTTTAAATACTACCGTCAGCAAAAGAATTTTTAGAACTCGAAAGCACTTTTACAGCACATTTTACTCTTTCAGAATTTACCGACTATTTCTGGTGAACTTTCACTACTTCATTTCATAGGTGGTCATTTTGCACCATCTTGTGGCCAAGCAGAAGCATTTCAGTTCACAGTTCAGTTTTGCTCTCAACTTGTTAACGTTGCTTAATTTGTTTATTAGTAAGAAATACTTTTTTCCTAATTATCTATACTGCAGTATAGATTTACAAAAGGGTAGCACAACATCATGTCTCCAAACAAGGCGAGCAGAAGCTATGCTAATCTAAAATTAAGGCACACAAATTAAGGTATACAAATTTAATACTCTCTTCTTTCATGTGACTACAGTAATTTGGAGCTCCCTCTTTTTATCAGTCTTTAAAGATACATCTCGACCAGGATGACAGTTAAGTTCAAAGTCACTGTTCCAAGAGATAGACTCGGCACTTTTTTTTTTTTTTAAATAGAACAACATTTGCAAAGTATGTTCTTTTCATCAGAAAGATGATAGGTATTAGTTTGTTATTAATATTAATAGGTATTATTCTGTAAATTTAGATCTGTCCTATGCTAGCTTTTCATGTTGGCATGCTCCACACCAGTGCAGTGCTTACCTCAGATCATACACATGGAATCTGTACAGAATCTATTAATTTCAGGAATCTGCACAACTGTTAAAGAAATGTGAGTTTGAGGGTGATCTGGTACCACACTCCAGCAGATTATGCAGAGTGAGGTAAAACAGCAGCATAGGTGAAAAAAAGGTTTACTGGTCAGAGGAGTGAATGGCTAAGGATTAAGACAATAGCACTGTGATACTGGTGGTTGAGATTCCAAGCTTCAATAGTAACTGGGGTTGGAGACTAGCAGGGAAAGTTTTCTGACAGAAAAAAAATAACATACAGGACTAGAAGACAACCTGACAACTTGAGATACAGTCATGATGTTACTTTCCCTACAGGGCTTTTAACTGTAGTTAAGAAACATTCACCCAAATCTCTGGAATGAGGCTTGAAATCAGTACCTCTGCTACTCTCGACATAAAGATGATGTGCCTTCCTAAACTAAAATTTGGCTTTGCAGTCTAGAGTCTAAAAAAATATGAGACTATAAATCCCAAGTCCCTGTAAGCTTCCTGCATTTTTTTTTTTTTTTTTTACAAGGGTACTTTTCCATGACAAACAGGAACTAAAATAATTAACAAGCAATTAGAAAAAAAAGTCTTTGTGAAGTAGTGCTCCTCAGGAAAGGCATCCCAAATGGCAGATGTTAATCAAATAGTTTAATGAACTATGAAAGGTCCATCAGTCTAGTCTGGTAACAACTGAAGTTTGAGGACACCATGAGAACAGAAGACAGCAAAGAGATGCCAAATGCTAAACGTGTCTGTTCAGTGACTTTTGTAGCCTATTCTGTCAGTGATTCCAAATGATTAAGATAACCAAATCATCCTAAAGAGATAAATATCAGATGGCAATTGCATGCTTGTGAACAGCCCAACAGTCAGGAGCAAAGCATGTTAAAACAAGGCAAGCTTTTCGATTGCTAACCTTCCTAAAACAAAACAAACAAAAACTGCATTCATGACTCAAAGCAGTAAAAAGCCTGTAAACTCTTGAAAAAGCAAATATTAAACTGCAAATATTCATACAGTGAAAAAAATAAGTACACTAGATTTTCAGAGCAAAGATCACTTACATTATATACATGAACATATGATCACTGATATTAGCACGCTTGCTCTTTTAATACATGTTTTATTACTACAGCAAATAATTTACTTTCAGTTCTTCTGTTAGAGGATAGACACAATTTATGGAAGAGGAAACATAGCTCAAGAACATGCTAATACCTTTTGAATGAAATGAGAAACATGCGTACTTAGTTTTTGCAGAACGTTAATTGGCTAACTCTGTGAAGAATATGGTGGTGATTCACGTTAAAAATATAATGACTTTAATATGAGCATGGGTGCTGCTAGTGTTTATGTACATAAGTTAAAAGAGATTTATCATGGTTTTATTATTAAAATGGTTTGGAGTTTGTTTTTTTTTTCTCAAGTAAACACAGAGTCATATGGACTGTTATTGTAAATGTAGAAAAGTACTGGAAAAAACCCTGTCAGAAGGCCCTAGCAACCACCGCATTGCCCATGAGGAAAAGAATGGAAAACACCAGACAACCCCCTGCCTCAACAACACCGAAAATATAATAAATTCATAACAGTTATTTTCTGGTTCTGCCTCTGCATTTATAACTCTCCTTTCAATTAAGCATCCGTCACTTAGTTGGAAGTTTGGTATACAGCACTTCTCCCAGTTTAATGGTATTCCACTGCAGACAGTAACACAAACTAAAAAAATCCTAGAACTGCAGAGTCAAAAATCTACACAAAGCTCACAAGTTATTAAGCATATCTATCATAACAGCAATTTCCAGTTATTGGCACACAGAGGCCCTGCTTCTTCAGTTCTTCTGCATGCTTATTTCAGGATTTCTGGTTGTTCGACTCAGAAGATGGTGACAAAATAACAGAGCAAGGGTTTTAAATACTAATGGAAGCATGTGAAGCTTTTACACAGCTGACATTTAGGAAAAGCCTCAGAACTTCCAATTCAGGTGGCAGAATGAGGATACGTGCATCAGAAAAATGTTCAATTTACAAATACATCCAAAAGCTTCAGATAGATCTAAATTTTGCATTCTTCCCTGTACCTGGAGAAACTTCTCTAAATCCCTGCTATTTTTAGATGGTAGAGATAGGAAGCAGGTCTTTAGAGACAGATAAGCATTTGTCTATTTTGGGGGGGGAAGACACTGTACAAACTATACTCTTCTAAGAAAGCTTGTATATTTTGATACACTTACAATTACTTCAGATGTACTGAATTTAAGCTTTCTGGATTTCTACTGATATACAGATACTGATGACAGTATAAGTTTGTTGAATTTTTATTCTTTTTTTTTTTTTAAGAAAAGCATGAAAAAAACAGACTGATTTTTTGAATCAGTTAACAAATTTTTTACCACAGTAGGACTTATTCAAATTTTCCCTTCCCATGTTTACATGTTCATGAAAACAACTAAGACCAGTTGGATTTAAAACAAATAAGCTTTTATGTTGCATCATTAAGAGAATGCAGAAAAAACCAAGTCATTTACAAGAAAACTACAAGTAATGAAGAAAAACCAGGAAGAACCAACAGCGAGAATTTAAAAAAAACAAACTACCTTTTTCATTCTGAAGTATTTTCTCTTCCCAAGGCAAACATTTTCATGCATTTAAACCCAGATAATAATTAAAAACATATTCATGATTACAAGCAACCAAAGTCTAGCTTAGCAACACAGTTTTCAGTATTTCTTCATTGCTGCATATTTAGCATCCCTGCCTACTGACTGACTTTTTGCTGTTATGGCCAGAACAGTTTTCTGAAGTTTTGCAAACTTGCATTTAGATTTATTTACACACACGTTGCAAAAAAGTTAACCTAACACAAAGATTTACTGTTCAGTAAAAAGAGCTTTCACAGTTGCAAAACTGTAATATTGCTCTACTTACTGAGCACTGTACTTAATGATTAATACAAAACCTTACTTTTCCTCAATTCACCTATTTCTTCCTATCCCCTTATTTATCATCCAGCTTTCCCTTTTTGTTTTTTGTCAAAGCTAGCACACAGCTTAACCTATGAGCCAAGGTTCTGAGAGAGCACCCATGTGTGTAGCATACTATTTTTTAACCCACTGCATTAAAAAGTAGAACCGACACAAATCCTACACCAATTTGTCTTTCCTGGCCAGTTTAGAGGGGTCTGAAATACAAAAGTATCAGGATGGAGACAGAAATACAATAACCAGCAGCACCTTAACCATTCTGTTCAACAAAGGAAGCAATCCACTATAATTTTGATCATCTCTCAGTTTCTTTTACTTTTTTTAAACACAATTTTTTTCTTGATTTTGCTGTCAGTTACTGCTCACATATCATTTCTCATCACCAACATAAGGTGACCTAGCTTTGTCAGGTTTTGGTAACTGCAGCCATGGTTAAAGAAATTAGTCAGTATTAATTGTGCTGTACTCCAACACAGCTGTGAGAAAAGGGAAGCAACACCAACTCACTTTGGTTCACTCACAGCTTATGCCTGGAATATTAACCGTACGGTGTAAAAACTGTAGACTTCCAAGCCATTTTGCTGAAACACTCCTACTTGACATGAGCAAGTGGGTTGTTAAGTGTCTTTGGATATCTGCTAGTTAAAAAATAGTAAATCCTGCCTGCTTTCCTTATTTTGTTGTTTTATTCATTAATTGACAACAACCATCTCCACTTTTCAAGTTTTCACTAGCTCAAAACTTTATTTTATTAGCATATAAGCAAAACTTCACTCAATCTACTGTAGCTGAATGTCATAAATACATGTCTCAACAGTAGCTTTGAAACACCTTACAGCCACAGAACTGCCTTCCTGAAATCTAGCAGCACTAATCCTGCCATGCCTCTTTAAAATGAAGAACATTTCACTCACATATTTTGGAACAGTGAAGAGTTTGTGAATTAGATATTAAAAAAAAAGTCATATAATTTCTCCAGAAATCAAAATCCTGGGGCTTTTTTCTTTATCCAAGAAGTTTGCTTTCTCATTCTATTAAGTTTACTGGCAAACTATCAATCACTTAACAGAGACTTCTTTATATAAAGAGACATGATATTTAGTGTACTTTTCAGTTGCTGAATTTATTTGCTTTTTAAAATAGCCAGCAGAGGGAAATGTCGAAATAAGAAAATTAGTCCACATAAATGGTGTACTGATACCATTCACAGATTATGTAGGCAAGAAATAGCAAAGGGTGGGAATGCAGTCACAGATCAGCTCCAAATGGAATCCTAGAAGGAACGGTATCAGGGGATATTAAAACTATACCACATGAGAAAAACTGAAATGTCACTTAACTTAGTATCACTCCATTTTCTAGAATATTTGTATGATATACAATGAAATGTGATCAAAGAAAATTACTTCATTAACTTCAAAACTTGTTCTGAATCAAAGACAGTATCAGAAACCCGGTGTCTCTGTAAAATCAAAATACTGACCAGAATGTGACATTTGGATTACTGCTACTACCTTTCCCATCTATTTGTTCCTATTCAGTAGGTCTAGATGAACTAAGCAATCAGCAGCTAAGGGGTACTTTAATATGCCCAACACTGGTGTAATGTCTTGTATCATCTCAGAGGTTTATTAAGTTTGTGCATGGAATATGGACCAGCTGTAATCAGGTCAGCAACAAAACCAGAAGAACTTGTTATTTTGTCTTCTACAAGCAAGCTAGACTCATAAAATTTGATGCACTGTGGGCAATAACTAGTGACTCTTTTCCCTTTCACTACTTTCATAGAAACCATCAGAAAGAGTTAACCAGTTCGATAAAGAACTTAGTAACATGCTAAACAAGACGTCTTTTAGAAAACAGACAAGTACTTTAAGAAAAGTTTAAAAGTGTTGGCCTTTAGAAAACTGACAGATGCCAACCTAAGAATAAGAAACCAGAAGCCTCTGTCCTAGAAGTCAGACATTCTACAACATACCTAACAGAGAACAGGGGAACAGGTGAGTGTCAGTGCTGCTTCAACTGGGACAGGATTGAAGGACCAAAAATAAGAGGGGAAGATTCTCAGCTGAACTGAAAACACACAATTCATTGACCTCGGTGGGAAGGGGTTACTCAACCTGCTTTAGCTTATAAAAAAAGGGTTAACCTAAACCATATCACTTCTCTTCCACTGCAGGCTAGGCGTGCGCACATGTTCAATTACCACAACTCAACTGATGGGCAGTAACACCACTGTGAAGCACAGTTATGTGCTCAAGACACATTTAATACTATAAAGTGACAAAGTCATGTTTGTAAGTTTAGTGCTTGCTAGCAGTCTCAGCTCATTGTCATTCAACTAAAGTAATCACATAATGAAGGATATAGCAAGTGGGTCTTTCTCATGAAAAATCCCTGCATTGTTCAGTATTCTTAAGTTTTTAAGTGTTTTGTCTTTTACTCACTGACTGACTGATTCACCTCCAGTCTTGTCTCCTCCATCTGCCTCCTCATCTGTATCAGAATCGGCTCCAATCTTGCCTAGATATACACAGTTTCAAACATGAAAATTTAAGCAGGTAATATAAATAATGCTATATTGTTAAGTTTATTCTCTAATTATTAATTCTACTGTGAGCAGCATAAGAGTTTTTTCCCCAGTCAAAGCAGATAGTCTAAAATTAGACTTAGTCAAACCCAAAAACCTTATTTGTGAGTTTTCTGCTATAAACATGGTTGGCATTCTTCAATTACACTGTACTATGAAAAAAATAGAATAGCTATTACTAGTACAATACTATAGGCGCTAAAAATAAATCTCAGAAGACAGAATTAATAGAAGGCACTCTGCAGCATTCAAGATTCAAAGAGTTCCACTTAATTGAGAAGACAGCAGTATGTTTACAAATAAATTCTAGAGCCCTCAAATATCAAGTGGAAGTTCAATAACATACTGAAAAGCTGAAGTGTCATATCTTTAATCACAGTATATGAACTGTGTGTCTCAGCAGAGCAGAGGGATACACCAAGAATTCTTTAACTACACTGAATACTTCAGAGCAACTACTAATGGTATTGCAGTTTGTCAGATTTCCCCTGCAGAGAATCAGGAGGCAACTTGTCTGTCTACCTAAAATAACAAATTTCAAACAATACTTCTACATGCCTAGCTTTGTTTTTTCCATCAGGTCAAAAGCTTTGTTCTTAGTTTGGGTACTAAGGAAAAGCAGCTTACACTAATGCTTTCTGAATGTATGCTTAATAATAATCATCAATGGATTATTTCATTCAAGCTTAAAAGATCAAAACCAGTATATATATACACACACGCTATATATACACTATTAGCATGTGTATATATTCACATGTATATACACACACACTAATATATACTTAAAAGGCTGTACATATATATATATATATATATATATATGTATATATATAAGCAGCTATAGAGTGAAAATCCAGTTTAGAAGCAGGCTGTTCTCTGGTGGTGCATAAAAGTTTCATTCATACCTTCGAGTATCTTCAATAGTTTCTTTTCAGATAACAGTTCCAACTGCTCCAAGCAAAGCCTTTTGATTTCATCCATGGAACAGTTCTAAGAAGACAAGTAAGAAAGACCATGAGCTATTAAAATCTTCTGAGGACAGAGTGATTATCAACAGTAAGCAGAATTCCAACTGTACTGAATGAAGAGTTATCTCACACTCCAAGTCCCTTCCCTATTTTCACCTGCATTAATGTAACCACTGAAGAACACCAGGGATGTTTCAGTTTTGACAACTACCAAAAACTCTGTGTGTGTGGATGGTTCTTGCTAAAAAAAAATAAGCAATACAATCATTTACTTGACCTATAGCTTGGAGTTTTCATTGCAGCTACAACACTGAGCAGCAGAAATACTGGGCCATATGTGTGAAGCATGGAACTACAAGCAACTCACTTTCAGAGACTGATATAATCTTTACTTAAGAAATATACAGGCAGCATTTACACTGGAAGTCCACTAAACCTGAGAGATAAATGCATCCTGTTACACAAGCATTCAAGCTTGTAAAAAGTATACAAACAATAGGCATATTTCAATACCTTTAAAATATCAGGCAGCATCTTCTGTAGTTTCTTCTCCCCTATGACACAGAAACACTGCTGAAGCATTTCTTTTTTGTCTGCAATGTAGAAACTGACAGGTTTGAGTGACACACTGAGGTCTAATCCTCCTTCTTCTATATCACTGGGTTGTTCAACTTCTTCCACTTTTTCTCCTGGTGGCACACTGCATTTTGCTTCCTAAAATCAGGGAGAGCAAGTACAAGTTTCACATTTTCTAGTGAACTAGCAAAGGAAATTTACAGCTTCATTTGTGCTTGCAATAGTTTTCCCTTCATAATTACAATTATATTGATGGTTTTTCTTCCCCAAGTTGAGCCTGTCTCTTGCCGATGACCATAACTGGTGAGTGAGTCCTTTCCATACCTATCTTGATCCCCAAGACTCTTGTTGTATTTTCTCCTCCTCATCCCACTGTGGAAGGAAAGAATGAGAAAACAGCTGTGTGGTGCTCAGTTGCTCACTGGATCTAAACCATAAGAAAGGTACACCTTGAGACAAACAACTTGAGCTTCTCAATAATATTTTAGTTTGCAAGGTAACTGTGTCACAGAAGCTACATTTTTGGTTACTGAAACCATTTTTATGCTATAGGAAATTTTAAAAGCTTCAAGACGTAAAAAGTACTTTTAAATATGAACTGAAAAACATTATCTGTAAATACCTAGCTGCTGCTTATACATGAAAGCATGCTTTAAGGCAGAAGAAATCCATCCGTCTGATTTGCTGTGCAATTAAATCACTAACCACATAGTTTACAGCTACCCTGACAAGAAGGAAATAAATAGGCATGCAATTCACTGCATGGTACAGTCTTCCGAGAATAACGGTGGGTTTTGTACCTTCCACACATCATTAGAAGACCTCTACAGTTTTGAAAAAAAAAAAAAAAAGCTAGAAATACATTCTGACGGCCCTGCAGTTCACTCGAGAGTGAGGGTTACGCGAATATTTGTACTGGCACACCAACACCTCCTGCAAGAGGGTCACAACCCCCAAGCACAAGCGCCACGACTGGGGTCACCTCAGAGCCTGCGCTAGGAGGCGACGGGCCGGCCTCCCCCGGCCGTGCACGGGGAGCACCACGGCACCGCCCGTCCGAGCCTTCCCCTCCGCGCAGCGGCGCGCCGGCAAGCTTTGACTGAACGGCACCGGCCCCGAGCTTGTGCCGCAGGCCCGGACAGGAGCCAGCCGCAGCAGCCGACCGCCTCTCTACCCTGCCCGCCCGCAGCCGGCTACGCCACAGACCGCGGGCACGGCTGAGGCGGGTCGGGGCCC